ACCACCAGCTTTCAAGTACAACTATGGGACCGTGCCCACTATCAAACAAGAATATCCGGGATTGGTGGACGCATACGAGAAGATAATGTCTCGACAGCTACAAGACGACCACGGCGCAGCGGTGCCTAAATCCCAACCGAATGTCATCGCTCAAAACGACCGGATGCGAGGCGCCAGCACATGATCCAGCTTATCCACGCCGGTCCAGACAAGACTGCGAGGGAAGCCAAGGTGAAAGAGAACCTCGGGGTAGGCGTGGATGTCGAACAAACCATGAACATTATAATCAAGTTTGGCTATTCAAGCTCTGCCCCAAGTTGCCATTGCTTGGACTGGTATTCGTGTTGCTTTAGAGGTGCGTCTTTCTGGAAAGCGATGCTTCGTATGCTGACTCAGGTAGATGGTTGCCAACCCTATAAGCGCGAATGAAGTTAACCGGCATCCAACCTTCTCTTCATAGTGCTACGCTGTGGCAACCGAATTTCTTTCATGCATTGGGCATCCCTAGTGATATTTTGCGTATCGACATCTTCTCTCGGTAACTTACCCGTGCAAATTGATAATATTGATAATATAAATCACTCCAGACCTACAAATGTGGCTATGTAACTAGGTAAAGATGATAGCCACCCATAACCCTTAGTGATGCCTTTTGGCGTCAGAATTTTCTCTCCCCAATTTTCAAGTTGCCTCTCAACATATCCTGATCATTTCATCTCGCTCCCTTTCCGGAGAAGTTATGGCCTCCCCATCCATGGCACCGTGGATATACGCATCCCCGACGAACGACATGGCGCCGTCTGATCGGGGGCGAAGTACGTACGGAACCGTGGTCCCGTACAAGACGCAGACCACGTCCCCGACCTGCGCGCCGGGACACCCCAGCCCAAGCAAACCCTTCTTTGTACTGATATACGGCCTTCCCGAGCACACGGCCTTCATCGTCGCGGTGAACTGCAACAGCAGCGCATACTCTTCTGCGGCCAGCTTGTTCCGCCACGCCTTGACGGCACGATCCGCGAGCCGCTCGGCTGCGTCGGGCAAGTGGGCGAGGTGTTCGGGCAAGGGAAACTCGCCGTCGCGTATTTGCCGGAGCGCCTCGTCGCGCAGCCGGCAGCCCGTCCAGAAGACGTGGTACGCCTCGACGGGCGCCGCCGCCTCCTCCTCACCGGCCGCGGCCGACTGCGCCAGCAGCACATCGACGTGCAGGCGCGGTAGCTGCTCCGGGCCCAGGCCGTGAACCTTCTGGCAGAGACGCAGACAGGCCTGCTCCCACTCGCGCGCCGCACCATCACCGTAGACGTCATTGTGCCGCGTGTTCTGCGTCGCCTCAGTAAAAGCGGTCTGGGGCACGATTTCGGCGATCGTATCGAGGCGGAACCCGCGCGCGGTGAGTTCTTCGGTGGTGACGGTTCGATAGATCAGGTGTCGCGTGGCGGGGGATATGCCGGCCGAGAAGTTGCCGAGTTGTGAGGCGAAGGGCGGCGGGGAGTTGAAGTTGGGCACCCAGGATGGCAGCTCGATTGGTTTTGTCCGCGACGGTGCAGAGGAGAGGAAGTGCCACTCTGGGTCGTTGTCGAGCAAGCATTTGGCAAATTCCGCATAAAGATGCCAAACGCACTGCTTTGGTCGAGCACTTTGGATTCTTGCCATACTCTCGCGAATCTGGAGGGGCGCCACGCCCATGAGTGCGTGTACTCGGTCAGAGGGTACGGTGCATTGCCGGGAGCGTGTTTCTAAAAGGAAATCATTGAATTTGGGCACATTGAGGCGTAGTAGTCGGCTAACCGAAGGACCTTTCCGCCGTAGGGTTTGTAAATTCACAACGCCAACAAGTGCATTAGTCATTTCGTGTTCGGAGACGCCAGGAACGTGAATAACGTCAAGGGAGCCGTAGGTCAGAATCTGCGTCGCAAGCTCGGCGAGCAAGCCGAATTCGACTTCTCGGCAGCCACACATGACGACCAGTTTGCGCGCTAGGAGCGCTTCTTGAGCCGTCCACAGGCGCCGAAACCATGGTCTCATAAACAGATGACCATACAACTGCCCGTGTTCTTCATTGATTGCCTGGGCAGCACCATCCGGCATATCCTCTCTGGTGGCGGTCGCCTGGTTGAGCGCCGCGACCCGACCCAGCATCTTTTCCAGGTCTGTGAGCGCCAGGTCGCTTTGATGAGCCGTAGGCCCAAGCCAAATAAACACTTTGTCCGCCTTGTGGTAAATCTCTCCCATGCGGTACATCTGATCCAGCTTCTCGTTGTGATCGTCTTGGTTGATGCATATCTGGTCGATCCAGAGGAGATCCTTTGACCCAGTGGCGGATTGCGTGGCTTGCACCTGGTTTAGGACCTCTAGCACCGTCTCGGGAATACTGAAGTTCTGCAAGTCGAGAAAAATGCTTTTCCGGGGGCTGCTTAGATTCCAGCAGTACGAAATGGCGATGTAGGACGGCGGGTTCTCCAGCGAGTGCGATTCCAGATACGCCAAGGGATAGGAACCCAGGCTGCTCAGTCGAAGAAACCGCGCATGCCCCTTTGGAAGTGGACAGTATCGGTAAGTCGTTGGTAGGGCCAAGGGCATGCGTGTGAGGTTCCTACTTCCTTTGGGGTCTCGTCTCTTGTGAAGCTCGGGTACTGCACGACGCGACTCGCCGGATACAATGCCATCATTTCTCATGGGGATGCCATCTAGCATCAGCTTGTCAGGTGTCGCGCCCAAAACTTGGGTGAGCTGGGCGATGGCAGATTCGTGGTATTCGCGCGGTAAGCTGGCAATGCCCTCGCACAACGGAGTGCAAACATGCGCATTGGCAAGGCTGGCCTTAGTCGGCCGTGATTCCTGCTCCTTCCCATCATTGCCCGCAGACGTTTTGAGGTGACGATAAAAGAAACGGCGCATTTCCACGTTAGCTTGAAGAGAGTCGCTTACTCAATGCGGCGATTAGGTAGGTGTCTGCGTTCCTGATGCGGGGAATCAGGTCGATTTATTCCTTAGCCCAACGAAAAACTGTGAGGCGCACTGGACAGGCGGCGATCCAGTAAATGAATGACACGAGTAAGTAGCCTCGTTACAGATACTTGTGCATGTACACGTAGATAACTAGTCAGAGTTTAACCCTCCACCGCTTTGATGCCTTGGGCTTGTAGCTTCAGTTCGGCGTCGTTGAACTCATCATCCTCAGTCGGCAGCTCCAAGTGAAATCTCGACATCTGCGCCGCCGATATATCCACATCCCCCTCGGTCTCAAACTCCAGGATGTGCCCTCCCCGTTGCCTGTCCTCGGTGATGAAATGGAAGTGATCACCAGCCACATTGATGCCCATGACGTACTGCGGACACCTGAACCCGATAATCGTACCCTTGACGCCCTCAAATGTGTGCGTGGTTTGGCGAGCGCACACATCCACCATACCCTCACGTGGTTTGGTCTGTCCGCCGGCGGTTCTTACATTGACCTTGCGAAACACGCCATCTATCCGCACTGCCACAAAATGGTTTCGCGCCTTCGGAAAGAGCTCCGTGAGCAGTGCCTCCAGCCCAACCTTGCCGACCACTGTGGCTCTCCTCGTGGTCGTGGGCTGAAAACGCGTCACTGTCGCAAAAGGAGTGATGGTATTTTGAGGGTCGATGTGTACCACCGATCCGTCGGCTTTCATTTGATAGACCTGGCCGTCAAGCACAATCATCTCGCCGTTCATGTGTCGAAACGTCCCTAACCCGTGATTGCCGTGCTCAAGGATGTGCGCAATGGGCGGGCCACGCGAGGCGACGCCATCCATTAGAGCAGAAACGATGGAGTATTGGAACACTTCGTTGTATGCCATTTTTTATGTTTTCGAGTAAGCAAGTGTTGTCGAACGGCATCAAGTGGGATGCGCGACTGCTGTGGGAAACTTTGCGTTGTTCGGCCGGAATCGGCAGCGGAGTGTCGCGGGGTTTCTTATCTTTTGTCAGCACCGTGTCTCGGAAAGCAAGAGGGGAGTCCCAAGTGAGATATTTGCCCAATTTGCTTGCTCACTGTATCCACGGCTCAATAAGTGATTATATCAGATTCATGACGTGCTGACCGAACAGATAGGTCCTTCCTTCCATCCAGACTGGTCGCTGAAAGTTCGCCGTTTGGAGCCCCACATTCCCTTGAATCGTAATTCTCCAGCACACACAGTCAACTTGCGTTATCCTCTTTAACGATCCATGCATCATGCAACTCAAGACAGAAAACACCAAGCTAAGTTTTTTGCAAGCCGAGCGTCCATTTTCGGAGCATTGCTCCGAAGAAATTATCAAGTCGGGCCCGTAAAGACGATCGCACCTACGAAGAGTTACGCCATTGCCCGGAGGCACAGACACAACCCCTCAGACTTCTCGCCAGTGTCGTACACCCTCGTAGGCCTCTTATCAGGTATTTTGAAGTCAAAAAGATGAGTAACTAGTCAACCGAGCAAGGAAAAAGAACCAAAATGCGTCAGCCGCGAATCGAACGCGGGGCCCATCGATGGCAACGATGGATTTTACCACTAAACCACTGACGCTGGTAATTAATTCCTGGAATGGTTGGGTAGAGTTGAGAGGTTTGTTCATTATTACGTGAAAGTTGTTGAGGGCCAAAACCCCCTGTCGGCTCTGTTTGTCTAGACGGGACCTGCGGACCGAGAGCCGGAAGCCAACAGAACACCGTTGTCAAGGTCAAGAAATTGGCAGCTCGCTCGTTCTTTGGAATCCAATGACAGAAGGAAGACAGCTTTTGACTAAACAGTGAACTGCGCATACCCTTTATCAAACTCGGCGCCACGAAGAACTTGACTGGCATCATAAGAAGTTCAATAACATGGCTATAGGAGCGACCTAGCATCCTATATCCGTCTGACAAGACCGGCTCCACTCTCGCAAGCCCTGGTTCGCGACTCCACTGAGTCCACACTCGACGCCCACAACCATGACTCAACGGGAGCAGCTCCTATCACCACTACCACTGCCACTGCGGCCAACAAGTTGAACAAGGGCCGCTGGTCTAGTGGTATGATTCTCGCTTAGGGTCAAACTCCTGAGTATTTGTTCTGCGAGAGGTCCCGGGTTCAATCCCCGGGTGGCCCCTTAACACCTGCTCCATTATCTTGAGGGCCGCTGGTCTAGTGGTATGATTCTCGCTTAGGGTTCACTCCTGAGCACTGTTTCTGCGAGAGGTCCCGGGTTCAATCCCCGGGTGGCCCCCTAAGCTGCTAGGAGTGCTGGTGCTTCTTTTTGGGAAATGAATCTTCTCCATTTGAGAAAAAGGGAGGGACACCTAGTTGCATGACAGATCGCTTAGGCATTTATCGCACTTCTTTTGCCGAGCGAGGGAGCAAGGTAAACCATCCTTGCAAAACACGACGGGCTACGGCGGCCTCAGGGTGAGGGTTGAACTCTCCTGACTGATCGGAGTCGCATGGGAGAGGACAACATCTTTGGTTCTGAACCTTAGCAACGTTTTCATGACATTCTAGGTTTCGCACAGGCTAACTAACACCAGCTCCTTTTTTCCCCACACACTGAATTATGACCAAGGGAGTACCCTCAAGACTGCTTGAAACATTGCTCAACCATCCGCCAATATCTCTTTACTGATATGTACGGTGGGCATCAACCCGTGTTGATCCGGCCCATAGATGCCCAGGTATGTTTACCCATCGCACTTGTCCGCCTTGACGAACTCCATGCCTATCAATGCACGCAAAGCATACGTGCCTTTTCAACAGTGATCTTTCACTGCTTCGCAAACGCCTTCATTTCCTGCTCGAGCAAACCTTGATTCCAGGTCAAGTGAGGATCATTTGGTTTGCACTGTGCCACAGCCTGTATGAACCTGTTAAGAATGGCAAGCTCTTCACAGATGCAGGAGCCGACATCGCCCGTGTCGGTGCTACCAGTCGAATAGGCGCTGCGGTAAGGGTTAGCAAACCACAACCATGCCGGGAGAAACTTGCGTGGGACGGTTTCGCCTGTTTGCTGGCCCCAGGATTGCGACGGCAGTGCCTTGCTGTAAGGCTCAATGATTATTGAATCCCATATCCATGGTTGCGGCGAGTTTTAGTTGTTCGTGCTATTAACTGTAATCAGTGCTGGAAGCGAACGCCGAATCAGTTTTACGCAGACATGCAGGTCCCAAGCCCGCCGCGATTGGTCATTGCTCGGGACTGGATGAAACCACCCAAAGGGCGTCTCGCGCAGGGCTGAGTCGCGGTGGCCCAAGGGGTCGCGTGTTGTTGGCCAGCCAAGATACCAATGAGACCAAGAGTCTTCAGCGCTTTTGGGTTTGAGTTGGTGGCCAACATCGTCTGATTCCGCATTCGTTTACCGCCCACAACTTTCCGATCAGGCCGTGGGGTGGTCATGGGTTCGTCCGTTGCTAAGAGCGCAGGCCTCAGTGCAGGCCCCATTCCAAGCCTCAGTGGAAGCCTCAACCCAGAGCGCGAAAGCAAACGGGTCGCAGCAGCCGATCAAGTCACATAAAGAAAGGCCGAACCTGCCTCCGGCGATTTATTAGCTTTAAACCAACACAACCCATTTTGTCTATGCTTCTTTCGACCTACACCTGTTCACGTAAACTTGCACATATCATCACAGCGCAATGGACGTTCGCCATTCTTTTTTTGGCTGCCTTTGTGGTCCCAGTCAGACCCAGTCCAAGATATCGCATCACAACATTGGCTACACACCTATCACGGAGAAGCCCAGGCCTGAGCCCCTCCCTTTTACCGTCAGCCCGGGTCAGCCTCTTGCTTTCCCTTACAAGGACGACAAGGATGACACTGACGATGAACTTGCTGCGCTGGTCATCAAAATCCACACCATCCTCCTCACCTCTCCGATTCCCGCTCCCCCAAGGACAGACCTCATGACCGAAGTAATCACCGCGACCGATATCCGCGTCCAGGACTGGACGACCTACCTCGCTGAGCGCCTCCTGCACGCCCTTGAGGGCACGCTCAAGGAAGGTGAGGTTAATCTTGACCGCCGTTCCAGCTGGGGCGAGGCCCTCGCCGACGCCTACAACCACGCCGTAGCGTTTGCCAAGCAGGAGCTGCGCGAGCTGTGGGAATACGCCAAGGCGCACCCGTACGAGGTGGCAGCGACAGTGCTGTTGACGGTTCTGGCGCTCGGCGTGATGGTGAGGCTAGTGCCCATTTTTGTACGGGTTCTTGGGTTTGGGGAATTGGGGCCTGTTGAGGGTATGGCATTCTTCCTTAACCTCCCTCTTATCTCTCTCCTCTCCAACGCACACACGCTCACTATAATGTAGGGTCATTCGCAGCCTGGTGGCAGCGGCTGTATGCCGGATATGTGCCCAAGGGGTCGCTGTGGTCATTTCTGCAGCGGATGGGTATGACTTGGAAATAAGGACAAGGCAATACCTTCCATGAGCAGCCAGAAGCTTGTCTCTACATCTGGGGATTACTGTCTGAGTCTCATCTCTTGTCCATCAGAGGGATCAATAACGGTAGCTGCCAGCGTCATAGCCATAGAATGATTCCGAACATACCAGCCAGGAAAGCTCACTGTTACAGCAAAAATACACACGTGGTGGCCTTGAGCTGCATGTATCCGCCCTTGGGCAGGATCAGGGAGACCTTCCAACCTGCAACAGTGCCTGCCCTGATGACGGATATTGTGCTCAGATGGTACTGAAAACAACGGCATCTGGGCTCTTCAACCACCCAGAACGGCGGTGAACCCATGCCCATCGTAGAAACAGACGGTAACAGTCAAAGTCGAGGCCAAAATCGTGACCCGCGTTGCCGAAGACTCTCGCAAACATACCACCAGCCTCACCACACAGCCTGAACGCATCAAACACTCGTCGAATCCATGGAAATGATAGAGATACTGTAAAACCGTGTTCAGACACATCAGCGGCACCTCGGAAGGATGGAAAATCTGCAACAAAATCAGCCAGTAGTTGTAGGTTGTTCTGACGAGACAGACATTAGATGGTTTGAGAGCTGGGAATATTGTCTTGGGAGACGGGAAAAGCGCTATTTTGTGAGCGCTGGACCTAGTATTTTGAAGGCGAAAGCGAACATATCTCTTGTTAGAACGAGAATTATTGAGGAATCGGTTCAATGAGAGAGCAGAAATCAGTTCATGTGAAAATGTAGAATTAGTATAACGCCCGGGAAGCCAGAGGCCGATAGCGAAAAGAACCAGGATAGGCAACTTGTGGTAACAACAATGGGGGATATCCATGCAGTAGTTAAACCCATGTCCTCTGTGTGCCACTTACCCTAAGCCCCAGCTCTTTCAAGGACGGAACTCGAGGCTAAATACCTAGAACCATCTATCAACTACCCATGATTGTTCTCTCTTCAAAAATGAAATAGAATGAATCAAATTTAGAGAGTAAGAGGCAGCGCAAAACTCACTTGTGCTCGGAGTCCAGCCCTTCTACCCCCGGTCTCTGTATCGTCGGTTCTGAGATCTGCTGCTTGTTAAAAATGTATAAGTGACCCTAACCCTGGCCTGGCTTGTTCCGGTAGCTGCCCACCCCGCCAAGCGCCGGGCTTCACGCCGACCTCTCCACCAAAAGAGGGGAACTTCTTCATCCCGCAATATAGCCTGAATCAGGCTGTCGTCATATGCAACAGACGAGCTCATCCTGTTTCCCGGTTTCCCGCATCCAAGATGGCGCCCACATGCTTCGGTCTGTCCTCCACCTGTTGGAAGTTCTGCGCTTCTTTTAAGACCCCGCCACCAAAGTCACGTAACCCCTCCATCTCCAATTCCTCCAACTTTCGACAACACCCCGCACCTTGAGCATCCCAACCTTCTACCAATAGATCATCCACCGAAGCAATGGCTGATGCACCGGTCACCTTCCTGCCACTCGGCGCCATTATTCAGGAGCTCCGCGTCGGCGGTGTCAACATCGTCCAGGGATTCCCAGAGCAGTCCCATTACGAGAGATACAATGCCCCCTTCTTTGGCGAAACCATTGGCCGCGTTGCCAACCGCATCAAGGGCGCCAAGATTGACTCCCTGAACGGCGGCCAGTCTTATAAGCTGACGGCCAACGACGGCCCGAATAACCTGCACGGCGGCGTGGTCGGTTGGGGCAAGAAGATCTGGAATGGGCCCACACCCGTGGGTGTAAGGCAGATCCCCGGCGTGGAGGGTCTTGATGGCGGCGAGAGCGTCAAATTCTCTCTGGTTAGCCCAGATGGCGATGAGGGCTTCCCCGGGACAGTTGAGGCCAGCGTGGTATACACGGTTGGCAAGCAGGTGCGGGACGGGAAAGAAGTGGTGGTGCTAGGTTTCGAGTATGAGGCGGAGCTGGTCGGCGGGGCTGATGAGACGGTCATTAACATGACCAACCATTCGTAAGTTTCCCAGTGACACCGAAAAATTCCTTCGCTTACATCGCAGCTACTTCAACCTCACTGGCGGGCCGTCAATCGAGGGCACCGTGGTCACCCTCGCCACCAACAGCTACCTCCCCGTCGACGAGGGTGGTATCCCGACCAGCGGCCCGAAGCCGTTTAGCAAGGTGGAGGGCAACAAGGCCTTCACGCTAGGCGCTCAGGAGCCAGACATCGACGACTGCTTCATCGTCAATGAGGCCCCCAACACGGTCCCTCTCGACACCCGCTCGAGCCCGCTGACCAAGCTTGTCAGCGCATACCACCCTGAATCCAAGATCCACCTCGAGGTGCTGAGCACAGAGCCGGCGTTCCAGTTTTACACCGGAAAGTACATCGATGTGCCCGAGGTCGCTGGTGTGCCCGCTCGCAAGGCCCGCAGCGGCTTCTGCGTCGAGCCCAGCCGGTGGGTCAACGCGTGCAATGTCGACGAGTGGAAGAGCCAGATGCTGCTCAAGAAGGGCGAGAAGTACGGCGCACGCATCGTTTACCGGGCGTGGAAGGAGTAAACTCTGGAAGTCGATAGAGCATATAGCAACAAAACATTAACAGTCATACATGGCGTCGACTACAATCACCATTCCATAATCTCCTCCTCCTCATTCCCGTTCTCCTCTACGACTTGTCCCCCTTGTTCCCCCGCCTGCGGTGCTCTCGCCTCCTGCTTCCTCCAGAGCGCCGCCAGAAACGCACTAGTGCTGG